TCGCCGGAGGGTGCTCCCTCAGCGCGGGCGCGAACCGCGCCGTCTTCGCGAGCGTCGCCGCGACGTGCGCGAGCGCGGCGGCGACCCTCGCCCTGGCGTCCTTCGCGGTCGCCGCGAGCGCCTTGGCCGCCGCCGCCCTCGCCGCGCGCTCCGCCGCCACGGTCTTCTCGAGACGAACGCGTCGAAGCTCCTCCTCGGAGGACTCCTCGGTCGCCGCCGCGGTCGCCGCCTCCGCCTCCTCCGCGGCGAGCGCCGCTCGCGCGCGCCGCGCCGCCGCCGTCTTCAACGCGGGCGCGACCGCGCCTTGAATGATCGTCGCCGCGCCGCGCGCGACGCACGCCGCGCGCGCCGCGCGATCAGGGGGCGACAAGTCCAACACGACGCACGACGCGCCCGCGCCGCCGCCGCAGTCGGGCTGGAAGAACCGCAACACCCGCGGGGGTAACGCGTCCGCGGGGAGAGACGTCGTCGCCGCGACGATGAGCTGCCCGGGGCCGCCGTCCGCGCCGCCGTCGCCCGCGGCGGCGCCCGTCGCGCTCAACGTCTGCTCGAGCGTGTCCCAAAGATGCGACGGCATCACGCCGGCGATATCGCCGTCGTTCCACTCCTCCTCCATCGCGTCGCCGCCCGCGCCCGCGCCCGCGATGCCCGCCCAGTCCGCGGGCAAGTCCGCGGCGGCGAGCGCCCACGCCTCGAGACGGCTCAGGTGCAACAGCGACGGCGACCGCGCGGCGCATCGAAGCGGCTCTTTGAGCCCTTGCACGCACCCGACCGCGGGGTCGCCGCCGCCCGCGGCGAGGAGGCTCGCGAGGCTCACCGTGAACGACGGAACGCCCTGGAGGACGTGCACGAGCGCGGCGAGGGACGCGCCCTGGCCTTGCGCGCCCGAGCCGCACAGGAGGATGCGGACGGGGTGACGCTTAGGTCCTCCTGGTCCGTGCCCGCTGAGCGCCGCGGCGGCTTCGTACGCGGCGGTTTTCTCCGCGTCGTTTCCTCCGTCTCTTCCTCCGCCGTCGCGCTCGTCGTCGCGCTCGTCGTCGTCCTCCTCTTCCTCCTCTTCCTCCCTCGAGGCGCCGCGTTCAGCCGCGGCGGCGACCTCGCCGTCGAGGACGCCCGCTCTCAACAGCACAGCCTCCGCGTCGAGAGCGCCGCCGTTTGAAGCCCTCACCGCGTCCGCGATCGTCGAGTCCAGAGGCGCGCCCGCGTCGATCAACGCCCTGAGTGCGGTCAAGACGCTCGACGAGAGCGCGGGCGCGAGGTGCCGCGGCAACGGCGCGCCCATCGTCGTCAGCGCGCCGCCGGCGGCGGACCGAAGCGCGCACGGCCCCGTCGCGGTCTGCATCGCCACCGCCCAGTCCTTCGCGGTGACGCGCAACCCCGCGCGCTTGGACGACGCCCTCGCGAACGCGTCTCGCAAGTCCTTCGCCGCGGCCGCGGCTTCTTTCGGGTCGAACGGGTCCACGGGCGCGTCCGGCGGCGGCGTGTCGATCAGCCCCGCCGCCGCTTTCGCCGCCGCTTCGTTCATTCTGTTGGTCTCCACCGCCGCCGCGATCGCTTGCGCCGGGGTCATCCCGTCGTCTTGCATCTCCAACCACTTCCCGATCGGGATGTCTTGGTACCCCTCGCCGCCTAGAAATCCCTTCCCGGGGTCGATCACGACCTTGATGGACGACTTCCATTTCTTCGCGACGCTGCCGCAGTGCGCTTCCCACTTCCTCGGATCGAATTCCTCGTGCCTGCCTTCCAAAGTCGCGTTGTGACACGACGCGCACAGGCATCGAATCATCCGCACGAGCGGGCGGAACTGCCCTTGTTTGTTCCGGCACACGACGTATATCGGGCGTGGATCCACGGCGAGCGGCGCGTCCGCCGACGGCGGCGGCGCGGGCACGTCGTCCACGGGCGCGAGCGGCGGCGGCTTCGGCGGCGACGACGGCTCGTCCTTCGCGCGCGCCGCCGCGTCCTCCGCCGCCGCGGGCTTCTTGAGGACGAACACGAGCTTCGGTCGGCTCGCCGCCGCCTCCCCGGCCGCTGCGTCCGCGTCCGCGTCCGCGTCCGCGTCCGTCGTCGCCGCCGCCTCCATCACCGTCGGCAGCGGCGGCTCGGACGGTTTCGGTCTCGTCGTCCCCGCCCCCGCCGCGGCCGCGTCGTTTCCTTTCCCGGCGTCGTTCTCCTTCTCCTCCTTCTCCTCCTCCTCCTCCTCTTCCGCGCCGCCGTCGCCTCGGAACTTCAGAACTCGGATCACCTCGCCCTCGCGCCACAACCGAAGCCAGTGGTGCTCCCCGCCCTCGTCGTACGTCACCCTGTGCGCCATGGACGCGATGTCGTACGCGGTGACCGTCGCGGGAAAAAACAAATCGTTCCCGCTCCAGAACACTTCAACGCGCGCGCCGACGGCGTCAAACTCGTGCACGGCCAAGCTCGCGCCGACGTGACCGCGGCTCGTGGCATCCTTCGCCGCGGCTAAGAGCTCCGCGTGCCGAGGCGGCGGCGGAAGCATCGGTTCGAGCTCCGCGGCGAGTTTTTCTCTCGTGGGATCGCACGCGAGCAGCCTCGGCACTTTCCTTCTCAACGCGGAGAGGAGCGCCGCGGACGCGAGCGCTCGGAGGTCCGCGCCCGCGGCGCCCTCGGTCTTCGCCGCGACCGCGGCGATCGTCCGCTCCGTCGGTCTCGGCCGCCAGTGCTGCGTGTGCAGACGTAAGATCGCGCGTCTCGCGGCTGGGCCGGGGAGAGAAAAGTGCAACTCGCGATCGAATCGTCCGGGCCGCCGCAGCGCCGGGTCTACGGCGTCCGGGCGGTTCGTCGCGGCGACGACGACGACGCTTCCGCGCGGGTTCAGACCGTCCATGAGCGCGAGCAACGTCGCGACGACGGAGCCGTGGATCGAGTCCGAACTCGACGTCCGCGCGGGTGCCAACCCGTCGATCTCGTCGAAGAAGATGATCGACGGCTGCCTTCGCTCCGCCTCTTCGAACAGCAAGCGAATCTCTCGCTCGGCGTCGCCGTGGTACTTCCCCAGGCAGTCCGCGCCTCGGCGGCTGAAGAACGAGACGGGCCGCGGGCCTCGCGCGGCGGCGCCGAGTAACGCGCGCACCGCCGCCGTTTTCCCCGTCCCCGGCGGCCCGTGAAGCAGCACCCCGCGGCCGGGAGCGACGCCGAGCCTCGCGAACGCCTCCGGGTACGTCAACGGCAGCAGCGCGAGCTCTTTCAGGACTTGAATCTCTCTCTCCGCGCCCGCGAGCGTCTCCCACCCGCCGGGCATCGCGTCTGGGTCGTCGTTCGACGCGTCGAAGCCGCCGCCGCCGCACGACCCGCCGACGGTGACGCACGGTATCTTCCCCTTGTCCTTCGCTAGGCGCACCTTCATGCGTTTCGCGAACGCTTCCTCGTCGTCCATCTCGTGCTCGTTTTCTTCCCGTAAACGCTCCGCCGCCGCCATGACCGCGGTGATGACGCCGTCGTGCCTCGCTTCCGCGGCGCGTTTCCCGCCTTTTTGTCGGTACTCCTCGCGTTTGCGTTTCCCCCCGTCCCCGCGCGCGAGTCGATCCAACAACGGCGTCGCGCCCGAGGGTTCGCCGATGTGCTCGCCGTCGCCGCCGCGCATGCGGACGTCGCCCTCGATGCTGTCCGCCCAGTGCGGCGCCGGCGTGGTCTCCTTCGTCGCGTGCTTCGGACAATACATCTGGAACGTGGACGCGTTGAACCGGCATCCCACGGCGTGCGCGCACACGAGGTGGTAGTTGTTGTTGCACTTCTCGACGTTGCAACCTTTGTTCGCGCCCTTCAGGTTGCAGTGCGTGCACTTGAGCTGGTTCCCGCGCTTGATCGTCTCGTTCACCTTGCGCAGGCGGCCTTTCTTCGCGCAGAACCACACCTCCGGGGACCACACGACGCAGCTCTGATGCGCCCACGTGGACGCGATGCCGGTCTTCTTGTCCGGGAGGTACGGACCCGTGAACTCGCCGAGCTTCGGCGGCTTCACGCCCCCCCTCAGCACGTTCGGGACGTGCGGCACCGGAAGGAACGCGGGTCCCGGCCCGCGCGTGCACGGGCACAGCGCGCATATCATCTTCGCGCGTCGCAGCCGCTCCGCCTCGCGCAGCCGCTCCTCCTCGGTCATCGTCGTCGCCGCGGCTTCCTCGCCCGTCGTCGTCGTCGTCGCGTCTTCCGCGCGCGTCGCGCCGCCGTTCGCGTGCACGGTGTTCTGCCACACCCACGGAAGCATCTTCCCGTCCTCGCCCGTCACCGGCGGCGGCTCCGGGATGGGCTGCCACGGGGCGGGGTCCGCCATCGCGCGCGGAGCCTCCGCGACGCGCGCGTCGATCTCGCGACGAGATCTTCTTCCATCGTTTGAACCAGCAGAGAGTGCTCTGCCAGCAGTGGTCTTGCATGACTGGAGCGCGCTACGCGCGCCAATCTGATGAGGGCAAAGTGTCGCGTCGCGGCGGCGGGCACTCCGAGACGCGCTCCCACGACGCGCGCGCGCGGGCCGTCCCAGAGTCGGCGTTCTTCAACTCGCGTCGGCGTCGTCGCGTCGGCGCGTCGATTCGAGCGTCCGCGCGCGAGAGAGACGGGAGGAGATCGACGGGGCGCGCATCGCATCGGCGGCGGAACGCGAAAGAATCGAGGAAATGGGCAAGTCCGCAAAGGCCGCCGCCGCCGGGTCCGCGCGCAAGAGCGGCAAACGCAAGGGCTCCTCCGTCGACGACGACGCCGCGGGCTTAGCCGCCGTCGCGGCGACGAAGACGATCAAACCCGAGGACGTCGACATGGACGACGACGGCGACGACGACGACGACGGCGGAAAGAGCCTCGGCGAGCGCGTCCGCGCGCTGCAACGATCGCGCTCGCCGGACGCGACGACGACGGCGACGGATCCGACCCACGACTCTGCGGAGGCCGCCGCGAGGGTCACCGCGACGGAGCGCGCGATCGCGGAAGCCCTCGGCGGCGGCCGCGCCGCGCCCCCGAAGGCGGACTCGCTCGCGACGCTGCTCTCGCAGGCGCTCGTCGCGGACGACCGCGTCCTGATCGAGCGATGCCTGAACGTCTCCGACCCGAGCACGGTGAGCAACACCGTCGCGCGGCTTCAACCGGGGACCGCGATCAAGCTCCTGACCGCGTCGTTAGACCGCATGCGAACGAAGCCATCGCGCGGAGAGCAGCTCGCGCGGTGGATGCGCACGGTGCTGTTGCACCACGCCGCGTTCATCGCGTCCAGCGCCAAGGCGCAGCGCGCGGTGTTGGAGCTGATGCAAACCGTCGAGGCGCACGTCGCGATGCAACGGCCGCTCCTCGCGCTCATGGGTCGGTTGGATCTGTTGCTGCACAAGCAGAGGAAAGGGGGTGAGGGGGAGGACGACGACGCGGAGGACGAGGGAGCGAGAGGGCCGCTCAGCGTGTACACGGAGGGGGAGGAGGACGTCGAGGAGGTTATCGACGCGGACGACGACGACGACGACGACGGCGCGGAGAGCCTGAGCGACGAGTGGGAGACGGACGACGGCGAAGACGACGACGACCTCGACGACGACGACGACGACGACGACGACGACATGGAGGACTAGACCCCGGTGGTAGCGCGAGGAGAGGAGAGAGATTCTATGCTACTCATCTATTACCGTCGACTACTTACGCGTCTACTCGCTCGCCGTCGTCGTCGTCGTCGTCGCCGTCGCCGTCCGCGAGAAGGCTCGCGAAGGCGTTCGCGACGTCCAACGCCGGCGGCGCGGGCGCCGGCGGCGGCCCGCGTCGCGTCGCGCCCAGCGCCGGGAACGGCTCCTTCTCTCTCATCTTCTCCGTCGCGCGCTCTCTCTCGGCGCGCTCGTCGGCGCTCTCGTCGGCGCTCGCCCCGCGCTCCTTGAACGCGCGCACTTTGAACCTCCCTCGCGACCCGCCGCCGAGTTTGTTGCACGCGTCGTCGAAGACGCTCTTCCGCCAAAAGTGCGCCGCGAGCGCGTCCCCCGGGCGCCATTTGCTCACGGCCTCGCTCCCCCCGTTCGCGCTGACCGTCGTCCCGGGCGCGCGAACGAGCTGAAGCGCGTACTCGCCGCTGAAGTCGCTCAGCGCGCCGGAGACGATCTCCAAACCGCCGCGCGCGCCGCCGCCGCCCGACGCGATGTCGTCGAAGAAGAGTTCCAACCGCGTCCACGCGCCGTCGGAGTGCCGCTCGGTCCAGCCTTCGAACCAGCTGAAATCTCCTCGGCTCGGCCCGAGTCCCGCCGCGCACGCCGCCGCCGCCGCGTTCACCGCGGCAGCCTCCGCGATCTCCTCCGGCGTCCTCGAATCGAGCGCGAGCACGGCGTCGGACAACCGCGACGACGGCATCGCCGTCGCGTCCGTGCGAAAGACGTCCACCCGTTTACGCGGCTCGTCCCCGTACGAGTGCGACGCGCAGCCGTACGCTCTCGCGAGCGCGTGCGCGGCGCCTCGCAAGCGCCGCGGCGCGGGGTCGAGGCTGAGACGTTTCGGTCCGGCGGGGCCTTTGAGCGCGAACGCCTCGAGCGCCTTCTCGAGCGCTTCGATCGCGGCCGGGTGCGCGCGCGCCGTCGCGAGCGTCGTCGCGTCGAACGCCTCCGCGGACGCGGCGGCGAACATCGACGCGTGTCGCTCGGGTCGGTCGATCCCGAACGCCTCCGCGAGCTGCCTCCGACGCGCCGCGGCGGGGTCTTCTTCTTCTTGTTCTTCTTCCCGCGGCTCCGCGGTCGCGTCCGCGGCGACGTCTCCGTCCGTCGGTTCGACCGGCGGCGGCGGCGGCGGGGCGACGGGATCCGGTCGCGCCTCCGGCACGGTCGT